GCCAGCTAGCACCAAAATGGCAGTATCAAATTCACACATAACAATATTAACCCTAAATGTAAATGGACTAAATGCCCCAATCAAAAGACACAGACTGGCAAATTGGATAAAAAGCCAAAGCCCATTGGTGTGCTGTATCCAGGAAACCCATCTCACATGCAAGGATACACAAAGGCTCAAAATAAAGGGATGGAGGAAGATTTACCAAGCAAATGGAGAGCAAAAAAAAGCAGGAGTTGCAATTCTCATCTCTGATAAATTAGACTTTAAAGCAACAAAGATCATAAGAGACAAAGAGGGACATTACATAATGGTAAAAGGATCAATGCAACAAGAAGAGCTAACGATCCTAAATATATACGCACCCAATACAGGAGCACCCAGATACATAAGGCAAGTTCTTAATGACTTACAAAGGGACTTAGACTCCCACACAATAATAGTGGGAGACTTTAACACCCCATTGTCAACATTAGACAGATCAGCCAGACAGAAAATTAACAAGGATATCCAGGACTTGAACTCAGACCTGGACCAAGCAAACCTAATAGACATTTACAGAACTCTCCACCCCAAATCCACGGAATATACATTCTTCTCAGCACCACATCACACCTACTCTAAAATTGACCACATAATTTGGAGTAAATCACTCCTCAGCAAATGCAAAAGAACGGAAATCATAACAAACAGTCTCTCAGACCACAGTGCAATCAAGTTAGAACTCAGAATTCAAAAACTAACTCAGAACCGCACAGCTTCATGGAAACTGAACAACTTGCTCTTGAATGTTGACTGGATAAACAATGAAATGAAGGCAGAAATAAAGATGTTCTTCGAAACCAACGAGAATGAAGACACAACATACCAAAATCTCTGGGACACATTTAAAGCAGTCTCTAGAGGAAAATATATAGCAATAAGTGCCCACGTGAGAAGCAAGGAGAGATCAAAAATTGACACCCTATCATCAAAACTGAAAGAGCTAGAGGAGCAAGATCAAAAAACTCAAAGTCCAGCAGAATGCAAGAAATAGCTAAGTTCAGAGCAGAACTGAAGGAGATAGAGACAGAAAAAACCCTTCAAAAAAATCAATCCAGGAGCTGCTTTTTTGAAAAGATCAACAAAATAGACCAATAGCCAGATTAATAAAAAAGAAAAGAGAGAATAACCAAATTGATGCAATAAAAAACGATAAAGGGGATATCACCACAGATTCCACAGAAATTCAAAGCATCATCAGAGATTATTACAAACAACTCTATGCACATCATCTAGTAAACCTGGAAGAAATGGATAAATTCCTGGACACTTGCCTCCTCCCAAGCCTAAACCAGGAAGTAGCCGAAACCCTGAACATAACCATAGCAAGGTCTGAAGTTGAGGCAGCAATTAAGAGCTTACCACCCAATAAAAGCCCAGGTGCAGACGGGTTCACAGCCAAATTCTACCAGACATACAAAGAGGAGCTGGTACCATTCCTTCTGAAACTATTCCAAAGAATACAAAATGAGGGAATTCTTCCCAAATCATTTTATGAGACCAACATCACCCTGATTCCAAAACCCGGCAGAGACTCAACAAGAAAAGAAAACTTCAGGCCAATATCCATGATGAACATAGATGCAAAAATCTTCAACAAAGTACTGGCAAGCTGACTGCAACAGCACATCAAAAAGCTTATCCACCATGATCAAGTAGGCTTCATCCCAGGGATGCAAGGCTGGTTCAACATACACAAGGCTATAAACGTAATTCACCACATAAACAGAACCAAAGACAAAAACCACATGATTATCTCAATTGATGCAGAGAAGGCCTTTGACAAAATTCAACAGCTGTTTATTCTAAAAACCCTCAATAAGCTAGCTATTGACGGAATGTATCTCAAAATAATAAAAGCTATTTATGACAAACCAACAGCCAATATCATACTGAATGGGCAAAAACTGGAAGCATTCCTCTTGAAATCTGGCACTAGACAAGGATGCCCTCTCTCACCACTCCTATTCAATATAGGACTGGAAGTTCTAGCCAGAGCAATCAGGCAAGAAAAAGAAATAAAGGGTATTCAAATAGGAAAGGAGGAAGTCCAATTGTCCCTATTAGCAGATGACATGATTGTATATCTAGAAGACCCCATCGTCTCAGCCCCAAATCTCCTGAAACTGATAAGCAACTTCAGCAAAGTCTCAGGATACAAAATCAATGTGCAAAAATCACATGCATTTAGGCCGGGCGTGATGGCTCAAGCCCGTAATCCCAGCACTTTGGGAGGCCGAGGCGGGTGGATCACGAGGTCAAGAGATCGAGACCATCCTGGTCAACATGGTGAAACCCCGTCTCTACTAAAAATACAAAAAATTAGCTGGGCATGGTCGTGCATGCCTGTAATCCCAGCTACTCAGGAGGCTGAGGCAGGAGAATTGCCTGAACCCAGGAGGCGGAGGTTGCGGTGAGCCGAGATCGCGCCATTGCACTCCAGCCTGGGTAACGTGAGTGAAA